AAAAAATTGGACTCTTTTGGTTTGAAAGGGATACACTAAAAATTGAATCAATCTGTTGATTCCCAGGACTGCATACGGTTTTTTATTTTTTTAAATGCAATGGAACGGGGAATAATGTTTACTGTATACGGACCACTCCCCAGTGTTTTCTGTTTCATCAGGAAAGAAAAAAATATCCGCTTCATTTTTTCCCTGATTGAGTCGATTTTTCGAGTGGAAAGCACTTAATTTTTTAATAAGAGAAGGCATGTCATTAATCTCAGTGATACAAAATTCCTGCGTCTGGTATCGGATATTACACGACGGGAATATTGTTTTCCGACGATTGAGTCTTTCATTCGCTGTGCAAATAAATTCTCTGACGTGTAACGATAATAAAGGGGTATTGAAATATTACGTCACGCATTTGCTGGACTATTTAGATCCGCCCCCTTGCCCCCAATCTCGTGATGTAATATTCTAATGCCTCCCGAGCTTTCAGAAATAATTGAAAGGTAATTCGTAGCGCTCTATTGAATCATATTGAAATGATTTCTCCGGTATTAGCCTACATTTGCCACTGATAAAAAAATCTATTGTGAGTAGATTGGAGATGCCTTTTGTCAGGTGATTTTTTCACACGTCGTTGAAAGAGTTTTTGAAATTTTTTGTCGGAAAATTTATTACCTTTTGCCCCTCTGAATCTTGGAAGCAATACATTCTTCACTATATCATAAAATCAGATAATCGCGAGTTGTCTTATCCAATGAATATGCATGATGGGAGGATTCAGGGGATTAGAGAATAGAACAAGTAAAGGGTGATGGATAATTAAGTACATACCAGCTCGGAGACCAATGGTATTGATTTTCGACGCGGTCGAATGTCCGGCCGGCTATCGATAGTGCTGTAGAAAGTATTCTCTCCCGCTCGCCTGAAATTCGATAGTTTGCGAAAATATGATCCAACGAGAGAATTGCAAAAAATATAGTAACACGGAGGGTCGTGTTACTTGCTGAGATGATTTTTTGCTTTCGAATGGAAGGTTCATAATTCTTCAAATTTAGGTTTCAAATTTTTTTTTTGTGTTGGGATAACTAAATATGTGATCTTTTTTTTTCTTCAATTTTTTCATGAATATAGAGTTTACTGGGGGGGCAACGCCCCCATGATCTTTATCTAGGCCCTTAGTCTGACCCTCGTGACCCTTATTCTGACCCTCATAACCCTCGTGACTATTATTTTGACCCCCTGTGAACCTTAGTAACTGACCCTTTATTTCTGACGTTCGTGATCCTTAATCTGACCCTTGTGACCCTCATTTGAATCCTTAATGACCCTTATTACAACCCTCAAGACCCTTATTTTTATCCTGGTGACCTTCAGTTGCTGACCCTTGGGATTTGACCACCATGCCCCTTAATCGGACCCTTGTGAAGTTTACTTAAACCCTTAATCTGACCCTTATGACCCTTAATTGGGCTTATGTGACCTATAATTTGATCTTTGTAACCCTTATGACCCTCAATTTGACCCATATGACCTGTAATCTGACCCATCTGACCCTTATTCAGACCCTGGTGGCCCTTAATCTGACCCTCATAACCCTTATTTTGACCCTTGTGACCCTTAATTTTGAGTACCAAATTTTCATCACCAGAAGTCGATTTGGATTTTTATAATATAAAGAGAAAAAGCTCGATTCATCGTTACAAATTGAAATTAAATTTTTCATACAGATTCCAAAAAATTGATATTTTCTTTAAAATCGATTTTTCAATGATCACTCAATTCAATTGTCAATAGCCTGGGTGAAACTCTGGCAAAAATTGATACGCAAAAAATTTTATGACATTTCAATTCATGACAGCCCTATGACATGAAAAAATAGAAGAGACTAGTAAAATAGGATTCCATTCGGAAGCAAATGGCTAATTTATTCTCAGCAATAACTATCCTCATTTATAAAAAAATGCAATCACCCGCTTGTTTCAAATTTTTACTTAAATTTTAAATGAAAAGCTCACCCATTCGCTCGACCTCCAGCTTCTCCATCTCCACCGCTGCCATTCTAACAAAAAAAAAAACAGTTTATTCAAAAAACAAGGTATTAACAGGTCAGAATGAAACGCATAAAGTACGTTCCCCAGTTACATGCAAACGATGGTAAAGTATATAATGAGATACACAGTCTTCGTAAGTTTACGTACACTCGTCCACGAAATTCATTACGAGAAACAACAAATGATGTGGGCTTTGCGCATTATTTCATGGCTGATTATTTCGTGGACAAGCGATGTTCACAATGCTCTGGCTCGCAACAATGTTTCTTATTACATAGAAATGAGGAAATAATGTTTATAATAACGTCGTACTACTACGGATGTAGGTCCGTTGTTATTGAGGATAATACTAAAAGCGAGAGTGCCATCTTCCAACTGCTTGCACTTTGACAATTGTTCGTATTATAATGCTTTATTTTTTACATTTCCTCATTAATTTTCTAGAATACCGTAATATTGATCATATTGACTGCCTTGTGTGCTCCACTTTAGCCCTCTGTTTAGAATCTTTGTTCTCCTACTCAATTGTTCAACAATTAGTGCCGTCTCGGAGATTCAATAAATGGATGTTTTTTTTCCACAGAGAAATACTGCTGATTTGAATTATCAATGATTATTACCGGTACAAAAGTAAACAACAATGCATTTTTTGTTCCCTCCGACAATATATGAAGAAGACATGCTTTTTTTTTAAATTTGAGATCCAAAACTTAGATTTTATACCTTTCAATTTTTTTCACGTAGTGAGCATTTGGGATTCACTATTCACCTTAAATAGCATAGAAAAGCCAATTTTTGTATCTAAGATTATATGTAAATTGTTCATATTAGTATAGTATACAATTATCGTAAACGTATACAATTCTGATAAACAGTTTTTTTTTCAATCGCATAAAACTTACAAAACTTATCAATAGCGTAACAAGTGTAAATAATTCTTCTCGCAGTATGCGGAACGTAACAAATGACTATTAAATGTGATATATTGACCTAATTTTAGTCAAAATATGGAATTTATTCGTTATCGCATTTATTTTCATTTTTTCAATACAAGAGCATTAAAAATAGAGTTGGAAATTGGGGAAAAAAATTATCTAAAAATTTCCTGTTGAAGGCGAAATTTCATACTAATATTAGGAGTAGGTAGGTATGTAGGCCCAGTCAACCACACGCATTTTCTGTTGGAAGCAGATAGTCATCATCAATGAATAAAAAATGAATTAATCCCGCTCGGCCATGTCAATTGCGTTAAATTGATGTGTATTCTAGATAATCTGCAATTTTGTGACGGGTGATATTGAACTATGATAATAATATTAATTTCATAATGGTATATCCCAACGTGTTGCAATACTGAAACGAGGAATTCAGGAAAAGGGGGAGTGAATCCATCTTAGGCCAATTCTAAATGAAACGTCAGGCAATATTCAGTAGTGAAGCGGTAAAACTCGAAGTCGATTTTTACTATTGGCCAATTTTCAATGAATATCTCAAAATCTAAGGGAGATAGCAAAATTTTCATCATAACCTTTTTCATAGCTCTCTATTTGCTCTACAAAAAAGGTTATAACAGAAATTTTACTACCTGCCTTAGATTTCGAGATATCTATTAAAATCTGAATAACAGTCAAAATCGACTTCAGCTGAGTTTTTTTAGAAATATCTCCGAATCTAAGAGAGATAGCGAAATTATTGTCATAACCTTTTTCATAGCCCTTAATTTTCTCTATAAAAAAGGTTATTACAAAAACTTTGCTATCTCCCTTAGATTCGGAGATATTCCTCGAAAACTCGGCCGAAGGCCAAATCGACTTGAGCGTAAGTCACGAAACGTATCGGTGTGAGAATAGTAGGGAGCCCTTAAATGTATTAGAGTGCCATAAGAAAGGCCCGGCTGCGCACGCACACTATCTCAAAATACTGGAGAGGGGGGTACTCTGAAGCGTTCAATGGATTAAACTGTTTTACCACTTCGCTAGTGTATTCTCACACCATGTAAAAGCAAATCAAAAGTATCAATATTTTTTCCCGCAACTGTTATGAAGGACATTCTAGACTGAATAGGATTGGATTTGCAATTGCAATTTGATGGCGTAAATATTGATTGCGCGATTATGGCAATAAATTCAGTAATTCGAAGTGTAATTTCACAGTCAAATTCAAATGCAGCACGATAAAATCTACGTGAGCAATTTTCATGTGTTACAACAGTTGCAATTTCGTCATGACTTTGTAATATTCCAGTGAATTTAAATTATTCAATGAATAGTTATTCTAATGAGAGCAATATAGTTGCTGGAGAGTTGATACAAGCGGCGTGATAAATATTTCATATTTTACTGCTACAATGATATGTCTCTATTGAAATGTCAAATTATTTATTCTAATATGCCGCACACACTGTGATAGACGCATTGAAATCTAATTGCACCGTACGTCCTACAATTTATTATTGCTGATGAATTCTCCCGTTTGCAGTGTACGTCAAAAGCTTTATTCACTTCAACTATTTTGTTCGGCGTTCAGCATTTATTACTAGAGCTTGGTTATACCCGAGTTTCATTAACCGCATTAATACGCATGAGATATTATGATATGACATCTAATACGAATATCGTAACATTACTGATATGGAATAGTGATAATGTGTAATGCTTTCCTAATGCTGCGAATGTCAAGGGAAGTAGCAATTAAGTGCAGTTGCGTTGAATGGAATTTTAATGTAATTGATGTGTGGGCTAATATTTGTCTTCAATCTCTGCTATTTTTCGTTATCACGGCCGCACCTTCTCTTTCACTAGTTTATTCGTTTAAGCCTGTTGAAAGCGAATGGTTTCATCTGGTAAATATGAGAGGACTAACATTTGTTTTGTGTCTCTGCATACGTGGGTAAACAAGAGGCGATTTTGCGGAGGATAAGTTGTCTTGATCCAAAATCAACGTTATATTTCTCTTTTTTTTTGTTCCATTATAATTCTCATCTCATCCCATTATTTTCAGTTTATTATAGTTCATGCACTTCTGAACTGAAGCTTCTTTAGTCACGGTCGAGCGAATTTGTTTATCGTGGCGCGAAGATTGTGTGAAAAAGGACTAAGGGACGAACGAAAGAGGGATTCCCATCGTTGCCAATTACTTACGCAAGAAAAAGTGCTTTGTCTCATCTTTAATGTTGTTTCGTTACTGGAAAATCCAGTTAAACATCGATAAGATTGAATGTTTTTCAATGTTTTTGATTTCGTAAAAAACTATAAAATTGAAAAAAAAAACATTATAAAAATGGTCAATTTTGAACGCTGATGTTTTGACAGGTGATGATTATAGAAAAAAAAATGATGCTACAGAACTGTTCTTCGGCTAGCCCCGTCAATCTACTCATTAAATTCAAATCCACTCACCGCTCGGCCTGAACAGCGCACGATAGCCCACTTAACCGCAAGCTCTTCTTATTGATACCATTCTACACGTGATTCTTACGTTTAATCGAAGTTGATTTTATTATTGACTATTTTTGGTATGATTAATGGCCTTTTTATGGTGATCAGTTGGTCTCAATTATTCAGAGTATGCTCACAGTAATGTAATCGAGTTTGTTTCTTGTAAATTTTGGAAGATTCAACATATTGACTATATTTTCGTGCTAGTATTGTACGGTAGATACGATTACTCTAGGATATAGTATGAACTAAAAAGTAATTGATGAAACTTATGGAGCAATTATGTTGAAATAAATGATAACAACTTTCCAACTATTCCAGGACTACAGATTAAATCTCGAATGCACAGGAGATGCTCTCGTGTCCTTACTTGATCATGATACTCACTGCTGTTGATTGTGATAAAGCATTCTCCTTAGCTGCAGCCTCCTCTAGTTCCTTAAGTTTATCGCCAGCCTTACGTTCTTTTAGTGTTTTGAGGAGCTTCCATCGTGATCCCGGTGGACCACCAGGACTGACCTGTTCATCCTTCAATGTAGTGTCGGAACTACCGCAGGACGACGAATCGATTTTGATCTTTGGAAGACTAAGGGTAGTTGTTTCTGCGCTGCCAGCGCCATCTCGTTCGCCTTCAACGACAGTGCTTTCAGAATCCCATTGACCTGGGATACCGAACGAGACTTCGCTAGGTGCTACACTTACGCTACCTTCACGTGACAGAGAATCGGAGCCCTGGAGAAGCTTGTCACCGTCGCGTCGCATGGTGGAACCGCTGGAACTTCTTCGCGACTGCTCTTCCAAATCTTTACGGAGATCTAGCTCCTCCTCCTCCAGCTCGTCCATCGAATGGGCAGGACTGTCTGGTCCTGATGTTTCTCCTGACGAGCCCTCATCATCCATCGGCAGTAGAGCCCTCGTTTCGTCGCGCCTAGCTTCTTCTTCATGTGCCCAGGTGTGGTAGTCGGTGACCCTTGCAAATACTGTTTCGATACTTTCCGCTGTTTTTTTCTTGGGAATTGGCTTTCCATCGTCCTCCGACTGCTTGTCCTTCGCTGAGACCGATATTTTTCCATTGATCCCGGTACTTCTTCGAGCGATATCATCTTCATTTTTCAAATCTTCACTGTCTTTCGATATGGCTTTCAGCTTAAGTTCCCGCAAAACGAAGGACATTCTCTCTTTTACGTCCTCGTCCGGTTGATAAGGCTCAACGTCTTCTGGTACTTCGATCAGTACTTCGCCCATTTCAATCTCCATTTGTGACTGTCTCTCCATTTCTTCCAGCTTTCTCAATTCGTAGCAATACCATTCATCCTCAGAATCAATTGAATCTTCCGTACTTTGACGCCGAGAGGATACTCTAGATGTACTTCTGTACGAGTGGGTGCTTCTGTTATCCTCATCTCCTTCGCCACTACGAGATCCTCCCCAAGGGATCTCCAGTGATTGTTGATGTCTAGGCAGGAATCTGTTGCCAATGTATCCTCGAGTACTGGAGGCCGATGGACTTCCCTCTGATATTGGTGCCTCCTCCGACAGACTTGTCACCAATTCCGGAGGCTTTGCACTCGGCAGCTTGTCGTTCTTTTCCTCAATTGATGACTGCTGTTCCACCTCATTGGTTTCTTCTTTGATATCTGCTTGCATCTGATCGTCTTCTGACTTTCTATCGCCAGAAAGATCTTCAATCATTGGCTGATCGTCTGATACTGTAGAAGACTGTCGTTGACGATACTTTCCCAAAGCTCTGGAGACAGCGAACTCCATACTGGCACCGCCCATTAATGTAACAGGCGGAAGTTTTGATGTCTTTTCGTTGGGTCCTTCGTCGGAACTGCCAGTCGATTTTTTAATGTCACCGACCGTTGGAAACATTGTCATTGACCCTCCGGATCCCGATCCCGTACTCTTTCCCGAACCGAACTCCTGGCCGTCATCAGGTCCGGCCAAATTATCCTCCGAGAAATCATGCTCACTGTTTTCGTGCTTGATGGACCTCGTTTCACGCTCTTTCTGCCAATTATCTTGGGCAACCTGTTGTTGAAGTTGCTCTTGGTGCTGCTGAATCTGCTGTTGAAGATAATCTTTCTGCTGCTGGAAGTTCGATAATTGAGCCTGTTGTGGTGACTGCAATGGTTGACTTGGGGATTGTAGAGGTGGGGGCTCTGCCGATTGCGATACTGGCAGTCCTTTTCTCTTTGTACTTGCTCGTACTTTAGCGAAAAAGGGTGGATCTTGATTAACATCGGACGTTAAGCTGTCCTCGTCCTCAGATAAGCCACTCTGTCGGCCACTGCTCCACTCGGTCTCAGATTGCTCTGGGTCAGAGAGGGATGACGAGTGGTGGTGGCTCTTTCTTTTGGCTTTCTGAAGAATCCCAGATACCGTTGATACCAGAATGTGTTTTTTCTTCTTTCTCGCTGCTTGCCCCGGTCTTCCACGGCCCCGTGCGGGAATACTCGCTTGAGGGAGAATTTGGTGTGACGGATCAGATATATCCAAATCGTCTTTTTTCACTTCACCAGGTAAAGACTGACTTCTGTGCCTTTTTGTCAAGTGATGAAGATCAGGCAGCCAGTGGCTCATAGATGTCATCGCATTTTTTAATGATGCACCGCGACGAACTTTCTTTGGCATCTTAGCAACTTCGTGTTCCTTGATGTCTGCAGCAATACTGATGTAACCAGATTGTGACACAATAACGTTTGATGCATCGTAGTAGTTGTTCTGTTGACTCTGGGATTGTGCGCTAGTTGGCCTAGATGAATCTTGCTCGTGTAAATATTGATGGTGCTCTCTCTGCCATTGCTTTTGGTAATGATGGTCGGTCAGCTGAACGCTCTCCGAACTTTGTAACCTTTGATTGTAAGGTTGATACTGCTGCTGATAAGTCTGCGGATACTGCTGGGAGGTGTAAGGGTGATGATATTGATGGCCAATGTAGGTGGGAGGCTGTGGATATCTCCTCTCGGTGTATGGACTTTGGGTATAGCTGCCATCAGAAGTCAAGGATCTTATACTCGAAGATGTGGAGTCATGAGGTATTTGAGATTCCATTGTATTGAGCCAAGGAATTTCATTAGGCTCTGTGCACGGAAGGTTCACTGACGTTGGATAATAAGAGAGGGCGTCTGTAATGTGACCAGTGATGAACATATTCTTGTAAACAGATGCTTTATAATTCTCGTGATTACTTATTCCTTCGCCGAAGGACATTGCTCTTGTTGGTTTTCGTCCCTGACCCAAGGAAGATTCTGCGTACTGAAGGGCGCTGTAAGATTCTGGATAACTAGCCCTACATTGATCTGCTTCTTCGTCGTTGTAAAATTGATCGGTGCTCGTTATTCTCGATCCGTATGCACCGCTAGTAGTTGATCCACTCGTGTACAATCCAGTAATGACATTTTGACGATTACTTCCCGCAACTGAGTAGATGGCTGGCTGCTCTTGGCCATAGAGGAAATCCATCGTGCCGGGAGGGACAGAGTCATAAGTATGTTGAAGACTCTGTGTTCTCAGACGTTTTTTGGGACTCACAGCAGCAGCTGGACTAGGCGCTGGAGGAGGTACAATATTGTAGTCGTCCTTGGCATCTGGTGATTTTGTTGAGTACAGATGAGACGAGTGATTTGCAGATTTGGCTGCGTACGCAGAGCCCGTGAGATTATTCAATGTGTCTCTGCCCTCGGGTGTGTCATATAAGGGCTCCTGAATGATGGTTGGTGCACTCGTCGTCACTCCCGATTTATCTGAGCCCGGCGGAATCGGACTGGATCTCAATGGCTTATTATCATTGATCAAATTAGGCCTTGTTTGTTCCAACGAATAAGGCGTGAATATTTTAGCGAGAGAAGTTTTTGGTGAGCCCGGTGACTTGTCAAGGCTACTCCAACCGCTCATAGAAGATAAACCAGAGTCTGATTTTGCATTCATAATGTTAATACTGGAACCAACAACTTTAGCTGTTTGTTTTGGGGAAACTTTTGGTGACTTGGGTGAGTGAGGACTCAATCTGTCTTGTTCAATTTTTCCAGTAGTTTTTATGTCATGTTGATCTGTCCCGGTGGACATGAGGAATGCATCGGCAGGATCTCTAGGTGCTGGTGGCGGGGGAGAGCTTGGAGGCGTTCTTGTTTCTGAAAATTCTAAATTCAGTCTAGCTGAACCATCGAAATAACCGTCGCGACGAGTTCGCAGACTTTGTACACTGTGAATACTCTGTACACTTCCTGCCGATAATGTGGGCGATGGTAATTTATCGGTTTTAACACCGAAAATAGTTGGCGATGTGCAGGTGATGGGAACGAGGCTTTCAGCCATTAAATCTGTGAGCTCTTTATTTTCAGCGTAACCTTTCGCAAAATTGCCAGGATCTATGGGTAATGAAACTACCGGCTCGGGACTTTTTTCTAATGATGAACCTGTATAGCCAATTCTAGGTGATGTGTATGTAGATCCTATTGAGTCAATATGAGACTTTGGAGTATTCAGTCTTGGTGATATGGATCTAGCAGTGAAATCACCATCAGTTGCTAATCCACTGTCAGTACTAACTCTTGAAATAGATCGGCCAGTTGACCCAGGACTCTTGGAGTATGTCCAATTATCAACATCAGTCTCAGCGTAAATTTTTCTTATTTGCTCATCTATGCTGTTTGCTTCTTCCACCAATTTAGATTCAGCCTCTGAACTATATGGACCTTTGGGTGATTCTATGAGTCTACTATTGAGCTCAATAAGCTCTTGTGAGTCTTTTTGCAGTCTGCTTGTTAACTTATCGATAGTATGAAGTTGATCAAGGGCAACTTGATCGAGAGAACTGAGCTTTGATAATTGCGCGAGATCTTGCTCACTGACGCACGGTGTATTTCCACGATAACTCTTGTAATCAGCAGCGCTAAATATTTCCCCCTCTTCATCAGCATCGTCCATTGTTCGCTGCTGTAGCTGTATATCATCAAGCTCGTCCTTAGTAAATTCCTCTGTCTGCATACTCGGGGTTTCGTTGACGATATCATCATTATCGGCACTAGATTTTCCCCCAAACACCCCCATTTCCGTATCCTTCTTTCCATTTGAATCTTCAACATCTTCGGCCTCCTCCCATATCATTCCCAACTGAGAACTGGATCTAGATGTCTCACCGCAAATGAGATCTTCTCTGTAGGCATTATTGAGACTTCGATAGAATGCCTCATCCGGTAGATTGGACTCTTCTTCTAGCGTCTCGAGGGCGTCCAAATGTTGTCTCCCACTGGCTCTATTCATATCCCCAATAACAGCTACAGTACCGCTATTATTCTGCACTAAACCATGCATTCTCGCGAGCTCCTGTTGCGCAAGTTTCTCCCTCAATACACTTGTCTCCTCGATTCCCATTGCTGGCCCAAGACTCTTGGCAATCGCGTCCAATTCACCAACTGAACCCTGCTGTCTCATCAATGTTTCAGCAACAATATTACTACTATTTTCGTTGTCACCAGTACTCGCGTAGAATTCAATCAACTGACTGATTACTGTCTGCTGTTCGTACAATAGACCCTCAAGTTTTTCCAATCTCTCCCACATCTTTATGTATTCTTGGCTGAGGAGGTCCAGTGCTCTCCAAGCATATTTCAATTCCGTTTCGAGAATATTCAAACGCTCTCCCAGTCTCTCCATGTAATCACTGATAATGTAATCGACGTTACCATCACCCGTGAGACTTGTTGTGTAGCTTGGCACTGTCGTACCATGCTCTGTCTCAGCACTTTCCGATGTAGGACCACCGAGTCTCGTTGAATCCATGTCTAGTCTATGTTTCCACTTCACTCGTTCATATCACAAGATATTAATTCTATGTCGTTAATCAACATCTCGTCGCGACGCAATATTCTATTGTTCGATAACAAGATTATCAGCGGCGTTTTGTCGCTTCCAGAGGAATTCACACAACTGATTCCACTATTCTGTTGTTTCCGGTGTTTTTTTAAGTAGAAAAAACATAGCGGACGGTCCAAATTTATATCACTCACACAACCGACGATGAATATTCACTGGACTAACTAGAAATAACATTTTCATTTTGTCTTTTACTGAATTTGTAATATCCGTTTTTCACTTTGTAGCGCTGCCCTTAAATCATCTGTTCCCTTGGAAATGCACCAATTGTAATTGGTAATTAACGTACGCTCACACGAGTAACTTGAAATTTATGTTGTCACAGGAATCTGTAATCAGGAAAAAGAATACATTTTAAAGGACTGGAATATTTTTAATTGAATCAGTTTCCATGTTACTGTTATCTTTTCATTATGTAATGAAAGGGAAGTAAATCACGAAATGTACAACTTCAAAATGATGCACCGAATATTTCGAAATTGTGCAATTCGTGGGAATTAGTCAAGTTCAATCTACAAAATTAGGGGAAAAATAACTGAAAATTCAGTGGCGACACGGCAAAATGGTTCGATATCGGGGAATCTAAAGCAGATAGCAAAATTTTTGTTAGAACCTTTTTTGTAGAGGGAATAGAGACCTACAAAAAAGGTCATGACGAAAATTTCGCTATTTCCCTTAGATTCGGAGATATTCCCCGAAAACTCAGCTAAAAGTCAAGTCGAGTTGACTCGTTCTACCGCTTCGCTACTGAATTGATGATTGGGAGAGTATGATGAGATGATGTACGAGGATTTCGGGTCGGAAAATTGGAATTGAAAAAAAATTAAATGATCCCCCTGTAGGAAGGACTCAAGGATGTTAGCTAGGATCGGAGTCACGGGAGGGGGGACTATTGCCACACGAGATATTTGGCACTACCCTATGTTGGAATTGTCCCAACAGCTGGACCAAGCTTTGCTTGTCTACATCCGCGATTGGTTAAACCACAAGTCAGCAGCAAAGCGGTTAAACGGTTCAAGTCGATTTCGACTATTCGTCGGTTTTCAATCAATACCTCGGAATCTAAGGGAGATAGCAAAATTTTTATTATAACCTTTTTTGTAGAGCGAATAGAGACCTACAAAAAAGGTCATGACGAAAATTTCGCTATTTCCCTTAGATTCGGAGATATTCCCGAACAACTCAGCTGAACTCAATTTTGACTATTGGTCAGTTTCTAATGAATATCTCGGAATCTAAGGGAGGTAGCGAAATTGTTGTAATGACCTTTTTTGTAGCCCTTAATTTGCTCTACAAAAAAGGTTTTGACAAGAATTATGCTATCTGCCTTCGATTCCGAGATATTCATTGAAAACCGAGCAATAGTCGAAATTGACTTGAACCGTTACACCGCTTCGCTACTCATATCATAAAAAGACCGAACAATATCATGGAAAATGATTAAACAGAGAAAGATATACTACTGAATATTCATAACATTAATTCCTAGAAAATTTTCATATTACTCACCTTGACGAATCCCAATAATATAGCTAGTTGAATATCCAACTCAACAATTGGTAACTGTCTAATTCGTAATTGATAATTCATCAGGTACCACACAAACAACACATTCGACCAATAAACTCACAATGCTTTTCACATTATTCTCCGTTTAATAGGCCGTTAAAAACACTCAATTTTTCTTAAAATTCATTACGTTTCGGTTATTATTTTCCCCTTGCCACCACTTTTAATAACACATTCGTTGTTTAATTCGTGAATTATTACATAATTTAAAGATCCAGATAATTTTTACATCACAGCAAACATCTATGATTCAACGACTGATATTGCTATGTTTTTTTTACGCAAGACGTTATCCTTAATCGTACAATATTCTAATAATTGACAGTATTCGATTGGTCGTCAAGTCTCCCTGCGATAATTAGATTGCATAAATTCCTGCAAACGGTTTCCAATAAAATTCAAGTATTTGAGAATAACTTTCTATGGAGGATTATTTGATTTCACTTCCGTTCAATAATGTCTATAATTACTATAGTTACTGGTATCATTACTATTATTTGTTAAACTTTGTCATTATCATATCGGATCTTCGAAACAACGATTTTTCCCACTTCCATCGACAGAGGAAAAAGCTTTAGATGTGGACGTGGATGAGATACCGTCACGGTATCATCCCCTATTCAGAATTTCTCCTTTGCGCTGCACTCCATCTTGTCATATATAGATCCATCATACACATGGCACTTGCTCCATTCACAATTTTTTCCCTAGCTCTACATCTGCCTTTCGAGGTTGGCTTTTTTCTCGTCAATGAGACGATGTACGTGTGGACGACTGGAGTCACCCTCGAAAATTGGACGCGTATTCAAGGGCTTCCTGTTGGTCTTTTCATTCCTCTTGTGGTGTGTCGTCCTGCCAGCCAAGATGCGCTTCATCGTACAAGCAGACTGAGGAAAAAAAATTTTGTTGGCATCGACGCTTCATGAGAACAATGTCCTCACGAACGCGAGAGAGAGAGAGAGAGAGAGAGAGAGAGAGAGAGGGTGAGAGAAGCACGAATTGAGTGAAAATTTACTCAAGTCCGCTGGCGACATATTGAGAGGATTAAAACGACCTAAATAACAACTATTAAATGAATTATTGCGTTCATGCCTGTAATATACAACTTCAATATCGAGCGATTCGACATTTCACTACGCAGTACACGTCCCATGCCAACCCCACGCCTCGCTAAACACCACTTATGGCAAAAAGAAAAACTCGATCTTGCTCATATTCTCGTTATCGCCTCTCGGGCTTACCTCAACTCATGTGCTAAGAAACACGAGAATAACGCGATTGCTGAGCTGCGAATGCTCACTGTGACATTTACTGCAAATTGTTATTATCAAGAGAAACAAGCAAGTAGGTGGAAATCATCTCGCCAGACATACAGGGATGTATTTGCGAGGGCAAGATCGATTTTCCCACTTTTCCTGGAAACTTTCTGACAGCAACCTAGCAACATTCCCCTCTCTCTCCTCCTTCTTCGCTCCCGTCTGCTCTCATCTCTCCTTCGCTCGTTGCGAAAAAATATATATTCCCCGAGTTTTCTTTATTTTCGCCTCTCGAAAACTGAATTATTACTGACGCAGCTGTATTATCCTTTGGATTTCAGTGTATTCGCATCCGAATTGTCCGGTCCACTGCACAAATTTTCTACGCTATATATCACACTCTGAATACTTGTCACTGAATCTCGAGCCTGTGACATTTCGTGGACTTTGGAAGAATCTGACATTCTTCACACCCCAAAAATGGAAAATAATTTGAATTTACTTATTTATCAACTGGGAAGAATTGCGGATGAATTAATGTAATTTTTTATTTTCCAGTAGTTGATGACTACCGGCAATGACTAACACTCGAAAATTCACAAATAACACAGGTCATGGTATGCGCAGCCACGGTGTAGCACGGCATTTGCTACTGTTGGCTGGCACAACGTGTACCCTCGCTACTAATTCGTGACCCCCTTCTCTCCGTGCTTTTACTCGCGTATTCTCTGCTACACCTTGGTTTTTCAACCCCACCATAGATAAACCGACAAACGGCACCGCCATTGAGACAGAATTGCGCAAGCGTTGGGAAGCGTAGCAGGTACGTAGTCATGAGGGTGCCTTATTTTTCGTGTTGACACAATCGTTCAAATTCCCCCATAATCAATTTCTTTTCTCCACTTTTTCATTTTCACCGAGAAATTTCCCGGGGGCATTGCAATTTCTTGCCAACTCTACCAACGGAATTGCGCATTTATTTCGTCAATCAGTTACGGAAATGCGCTATCGGTCATCTTGAGCCGGCAATTGGCATTCTAATTGACCCCATCAAGTCACAACAATGTGTTACATTTTACTTCATTCAGACTGGAGAGCGTGAATTATTTAGATATTGGGAGCTGTCGCACGGCCCTCAACTCCATAAAATGAAATATTGAGTGGAAGACGAGGAGATTGGAAGGATAAATCGAATGAGCTCGATTGGGCAGATTGGATTATACGAAAGATGGTAAAAAAATAATGACACTCGGTTGAACTGCCACGCGCCATGCTCAAGCAACCGTGCCACTATATTGATTTTCCACAGGGGGTTCCCAGCATTTCGTCGTCGCTCTCGGCCAGTCTACTTCCTGTGGAACCCCCTCTACAGCCTCTCTCGTTCACCACAATTTTCCCATTCTACTGTGCGTTCACTGAGTTCCAACCGTCCAAGCCTCATATGCCATCATCCTCGGCATTTCACTGCTCCCAAACATCAACAATTTCTCATCGTAACATCTGTTGTCTACGTATCGCATGTGCGACTTAACAACAGCATTTATGCACTGTATTAGGACTGCCTGTTTATTGATTTCCGGTGGAGTCGAGATTTAATATTCGCGATGGTCAACTTATTTCGAATTATTCTAGTTTTCAGGGGAATCCCGGGAAATTTAGCAATTGTCGACGCCGGTCACCACAGATTCATTCCTTGTTCTGAAAAGATTTGAATCTAGTGACATTATACGGCCATTTATTAAGAGCAATGAAAAAAAAACTGTCCCACGGAATAAATTATTTGGTGAATTTCAACAACTAGTTGACGAAATTCAACAGCTGATTCATTAAAATTCAGGGAGATTTTTCAATTTCATGCAGTCAACTTTGACATACATTTGGAAACAATCCCGCAATCATTTATATCTTGACAGTCGATCAATGTCTCCCCTAGAAGATATTTTCGCTGTAATCTACAATTCCTTGTTAAATTTGTCCCATCAAAAAATCGACGATTCCAAATTTAACAAATGGTTGTGGAATGAAATTGAAAAATCTTTTTCTGATTTTTAATTAAGTAGTTGTTCAATTTCAACAACTAGTCGGTGGAATTCGCGAAAT